GTTTAAAAAGTGAGTTGATTTGGTATATTGAAATGTCTCCTGGGTGAGGAAAAATACATGCACACAGTTTTTTTTAACATTCTGTTTTATGTGTGTTTTACACAACTTCCCAACTTCATTTGAATCATTGGGATTATATTCCAACTCAAATTATGTTTCTTGTGTTTATCAGTTGCACATAAGTTTCGGATTCTGACCCAGATTCCCGTGGATGAACAGAAAGGTGATTTTAAACTTCAAGTCTGTTATTCTTTCCCATTTTTATTATGAGCGTAACAAAGTCTTTCTGCCTGTGTATGTTTGTTTATTTATTTTGCATGCAGTTCGCTGCACTGAGCATCCCGACACAGGAACCTGCAGGGACAGTCAGACCAAGTGGTACTACGATCCCATAAATCAGGTCTGCGTCCGTTTTAATTACGGTGGCTGCGGAGGAAACGAAAACAGATTTGAATCTGAAGAGTCCTGTAAACGAACTTGCCGTGGTGTAACAAGTAAGTAATATAAAGTTTTTTTTTAATTTGTAATGAATCTTGGGTTGTCTATTTTATTTACATTTTTGCTTCATTCAGATGTCAGAACTTCTCATTTCGTCATGTCCTTTGCGATGTTTTCTTTTTCTAGGCAAAGATGTGTTTGCAAGAAAGGAGGAACATGAAAAAATAGTAGGCGAGAATCAGACAGGTATATTCATTTTTCATTTTTTCCCATTTAGACCTTTTACAGACTCTGGACCAACCTAAATATCTCTCTTGCTGTTTGTTTATGTGAAAAGAACACTAGTTTTTTTCTTTTCTTATTTTTTTTTTTACACCAAAATGACTGTTAGTTTTGCAGATATTGAGCTAAAAGTTGGTGTGGTTGTAGCTGAGGGTCATGCTCTCACCATTAACAGATTGTACAAGATCTTTTGGTTAAAGGTTTCTGTGCAACTRCAGTATCAATAGTCAAACTTTGCCAATTCAGTACATTTTGTCCATTTTCATTCACACTACTGAGATGATCCGTTTTTCTGTATGATTTTTGTTATCTAACTCATTCTGCAATTTGTTTTATTTCAACAATTTATATATCAAAACGATCATTTCAGTTTTGCCATTGATGCTACGACTTTTATTTCAGCAACTTGTAATTTTTTAGCCATTTAGCTTTTTATTCAGCCACTTCTTTCTCATTGAAAATGAATGGATCATCATCCTTAAAACCTTCATAAATCTTTATTTTTTACTCTGGCTCTACTTATTTGTGCGAATTTCAGCCCTCTACGATTTCTTTTTATTGTTGCAGATTTCTGCTCCTTTCTGTTATTCGTCAGCTAATTTCAATTTTTGTGCTGCTTCCTTATATATTTTTAGCCTAATTCAATCCATTTTCTGCCATCTAAGCTACTTTTAAAAGTTGCTTTCAGCTCATTTTAGTTATTTTTTCTTCAAACGTCGCCTATTTTGCAATAATTTCAGCTTCCTACTGCTTAAATCAGTGAGCATATGCTCTTCTTGCTTCTTTGTGCTAATTTTAACTTTTTCATCAAATTTTTTAGCTATTTTATCCAAATTGCACCTTTTTGTACTTCTTGTTTTTCTGCTAATGTGAGCYTTTTGTCTTTTTACGGTCTGTCTGCTAAATTCTACTTGTTTCTGCTATTTTAAGCTACGTTTCTGGGGTCGGATTTATAAAACTGGCGTACGCATAATTTGAGCCCAGAAACTTGCGTACGCCACTTTTTACGCCAAGGTTGTGATTTATAAAATCCAAACTTGACGTGAAAATGTGCGGTGCCCCACGCCAGCTCTGACCCATGCGTACGCTCATTTTGGAGACGGGAAACTGCAACACAGATGGTGAAGTGAGGAATTAGAGCCACACTGTGTAATGATCACTGTCAGATATTTAATTTACCTTCATAATCAAACTAAGGTTATCTATTTATTTAGCTTTCTTAACACTAATATTTATGCTTCTGCTGTGAGCCATAAGGACCTTTGAAATAAAAAAAATCTTAAATAAAAGTTCACGCATCCATTCATCTGCTTCCTCCTCAGACAACCCTGACTCACAGAGCCCTCCCTGACAAGACATTTCAACAGCACGACAGCAAAAGTCACGCTTTGGGTACACACGCAGGGCACACCCACCCTTGCCAGAGTGGATATTATCACGCGGGTGGGGGTGCGGCGGGGGTTCTGCCACAGATAATAGAGAAGGCAGGAGGGCGAGGACAGGGGAGCAGAGTGGTGAACTTATTTCTAAC